ACTTCAACAATAATATTAAACAACAATAACGACAATAAATTAGTAATATTTACTTTAATAATACTAATTAGTCATTATGACGGTAATAAAGGTGAACAATAACAACAACATTAATAGTAATATTTATTTTAACAATACTTATAGTAATAATACTAGTATAGTAATAATAACGATATTTAAATATCAATTTTAATAACTAATTAGTGATAATAAAAATGATATTGAAGGTGATAATAGCAATAATACAATAATAAATTAAAGATAATGTTTATTTTTATAATAATAGTAATACTAATTAGTAATAATAATAATAATGATACTTATAATACTAGGCCTACATAATAATAATAGGGTAATAATATCGATAATAAAGGTGACAACAACAACAATAATAGAGAGAAGAAGAGAAAAATACCAATAAAACACCAATAACAATAACTTTTTAAATTACTATTATTAAAATAATAATACTAAGACTAATAAATAATAATAATAATAAAAAATTGAAAATTATTTATTATTTATATGGTACTGGAATAATAATAATATCAGCAAAAACTTGAACAATATATAATGTTAATGCTAAGACTAATAATTAATATTAAAACTAACGGTAATAAAAACAACAATAATAACAACGACAACAATATTACAGCAATAATAACAATAAGTAGTAATACATAAAGAATTAGTATTTTATACTTGATGAATTACTCCTTCCAAGTGGTACCAGTAAATGACTTGTGGCCGAGTTGACTGTAGCCAAACTTTTTGTGGCCGAGTTGGATCGAATTCGAGAGGAAGAGTTACTTACCTGGTAGGCACGCAGGCATACTGTAAACTTCAGTCAGTACTGTACCAGTAGGCCTAGACACTGGTAACTCACTGGTACAGTACTGGTATAGGGATCATGTTCGATCCATTGACCGTGGGTATAAAGCAGAGGTTGAATATTATTTCATGATACGAATCCACAGTGATGATCAATGGATTGTATTTGATCAAAATTTAATATTTTCCCAAAAAAGAGTATGATTGTAATTTAAATGGGGGGGGGGGGGGGGGGGGGGATGTTGCCAGGACTTGCCTGCTGGCGGGTTAGCTGTCAACAGTGGGTATAACAATTTTAGATGAATAGTGGTGAACTCGACAGTGGGATTTGGGGCTTAAGATCCCCAGTCCATTGTTGGTGCAGCCATGGTGAGGGTAAACCTAGTGGCCCTGGTGGGGTTCAGATTTAGGTACTGAGCCTCGGTTGTGGGCTGACTGTGTAGGCATTTTGTGATATATTTCTAACTGTAAAGAGATTCATTATATTCAACTGGAATCATACAATTTCTGTGAAATGCACATAACAGTAACATGCTGTACTTTTTATTTCCTATCATTCAGTAAGTCTCCAACAACTAAAAAATGGTCACATTCATATTTATTTTCATTGACATGATGTTCTAATCGAAGACCTCACTACTACTCTAGGCTAAGAGCCTATAGCTGGGCCTTCCTACAACACAGTAGTTTAGGCATTGAGTAGGTAGTTGCAGTAGACTAGTACAGGAGTACTGCTAATGTTTATGTTTGATCATATCCAGTCGCATATCTAGGGGGTGCGTGGGGGGACGGTGCACGCCCATCCAAAAATTACTCGTGAGATGTGAAAAAAAAAAGAATCACTTGCAAGTAGTTTAAAATCACCTTATTTTTGCAGGTTAGCGCCCCTTAATTCATCGTCCCCTAATGCTCCAACGATCTGAGCATTTTTAATTTTTTTTTTTTATGATTTCAGGGAGTGTTTGTTGACAATACTGGGTGCATAAACTCAAATATTTCTATCAAAGCTACGTACAATTAAGTTTCAATGTATGTTAAATTTGAGCACCACCCAAACTATCTAACACAAATATTTCATTGAACAAACAAAAAATGAATAGGCATACTGATCAATTTTTATTGACACATCAGTGAACTACCTGTATATAATGTAATTTTGCTTTACCATCCATATAATGTATATCTACTTGTCATACTTGTATATATTCTTTTTAGGGTCTTATTGTGACAAGTGCTCTTACACTTCTGGATTGTGATCCTCTTTACAATATAAGATTGTATTCATATTAAATGTATTCATTTCAATAATTTGGAAAGTAAATGTGTTATAAGTAAATGGAAAAAAATATTTTTATTCTATTGAAGCCAGTCACACAGTGATGTCGGGTTGTTTGGATGACGTTCGCTGTGAACTCCCAGAGTGCTGCGAAATTGGTGAGAAGAGAAATGCTGTTGCATCTGTAGTGGCTGGAATATTTGTAAGTTCTACTAATAATTGCACATAAAATATGTAATCTACAGGTGGGCAAAGTGCGGCCTGTGGGGAAACTGTGGCCCTTAAGCGATTTTTTTACGGCCCGCGACAATGAATTAAAAACCCTATGTTTGCGGCCCGCTAATCAAAATCAGCTAGAAAACACCTTGTTTTTTACGGCCCGACACCAATAATACGTAAGAAATATCATTAAAAATCAGAATAAAGGTGATGTAAAAGCAGTGATTGGAGGTTTTTGGAAGCTCACTGAAACATCAAAGTTTGGGTGCGGCCCTCAGTGTTAAATCAAAAGTTCACTTTGGCCCTCCGACCAATTTTTATGCCCACCCCTGATTGTAATCAAATCAAAAAAAATATTCTTCATTTCCTCTGCCATTTTCTTTTTCATTCTTCAGAAGTATTATAGGTAACATTTCATCTTTCTTAAAGATAATATTTTGGGATGTTCCCACGAGAACAGGCTAGTGGGTCGATTAGACTAGACGAGGGAGTCTCGAAGGGAGGAATGGAACCCAAGCCGTACTGTGGGCACTCAACCCAGATACGGTATTCAGCCCTAATTGTTGTACGACTTGGTCTTTAATTGTTTAATTTGTACGCCACCATTGACTTCATCGATCCCCAGTCGAACATGTGGCCCGCTAAATCTTGTATTGATAATTGTATACTACTGTTTCAGTTTTTCGTTGGATGGTGGGTTATTATCGATGCTGCTGTTATTTATCCTAAACAAGATCAGATGGCTCATGCCTACCATACCGTTGGTGTGTTTTCAACAGTCTCATTTTTCATGTAAGTGTAATAAGTGGAGATAATTGGTAAAGATACTTTCAGGTTCAATTCCTGAAAATTCATGATAATAGGATTTTTTCTCATGACTAAAAAGAACTTAACTCCCTATACTTCATCATAATAAGTTTATGCAGAGCATCTTATGTTTCACTTGTGAAGGGATTTTTCAATTAGTTATTAAGTTCACTGTTTGCTTTTTCTTGGCCTTGGGTTAAAACAACGAAATAATTACTATATTCATTTTTATTTCACGTTTAATATTGCTTAAACATGTACAATACTGTAATTGCTTCTGTAAACTATTGATACTTTTTAATGGAGTTGAATATGTTTTGATATTGAACCAATAAATAAGAAATATTGATTGACATTTAAATGTATCTCACTCCCCAGCCCCCTCACAACTTAACATGTGCAATGCATGTGAATACATTCCTTTTGTTTTTTTTTCAATGTTAATTTCCCATATTTGGAAGTGGTTGGCGCATCGGTTGTGGTTTGGACTCCCAACCTCGAGGTCGGGGGTTCAAAACTCTCACTGTGCAAGTCGCTTGTGTCCTTGGGCAAGGCACTTTATCTACGGTTGTCTCTCTCCACCCAGGAGTACAAGTGGGTACCTGGTAGGTTCAAACACAGCCTGCGCTGAATACAGCTGCAGCTGCAACATTATGGAATTCCCCTATGGGGCTTCAGTGTGTGTTCCATATGTGCTTGATCCAGTGATCCGGGGGTAATAATGTTCAAGCGCTTCGAGGTTGTGTCAATGGGAGGCGCTATATAAAATCCAGAATTAATATTATTATTATATTTATAATATAAAAAAACAAGATTTTATATCTGGTTATGTATGGTGTTTTTACCACAGGGTAAATGCTGTTTCATCTGGTCAGATAAGGGGAGATAGTTACAGCTCTGGATGCATTGGTCAAACAGGTCAGTGTCGTTATACATCTTCACAACTGTCTATCGCGAGCAAATGATAGATAATACCCATTCTATATTTTGCAACTTTAACTGATGGGATTTCTTCAGCTATATCAATATATGTTCTGTTTATAAAAGACAATAAATGATACTGAATACTGAATTAAGATTTTAACCAGAGACCTCTTATTACAATTCATAATTTTCGGTTTCTTTTTTATAGGTGCCAGGATTTGGTTGTTCCTTGGCTTCTTGCTTGGGTTTGGGGCTTTAATTGCTGCTTGCTGGATTCTGTTTGGTTGCTACGTTACACATGGTAAAGTATCCTAATTACATACTTGTTAAATAATAGAATTAACATGTTTCCATGTGACAGTGCTGCCTGATCACCTGGAAATTTGCCTGCTGGTGATGAAATATGATATCTTGTTTTTGATCTTATCCAAGCATCATCTTGTTTTTGATTATATATATATATACTGTCTCTTATACACATCTGGGTAAACCTAGTGGCCCTGGTGGGGTTCAGATTTAGGTACTGAGCCTCGGTTGTGGGCTGACTGTGTAGGCATTTTGTGATATATTTCTAACTGTAAAGAGATTCATTATATTCAACTGGAATCATACAATTTCTGTGAAATGCACATAACAGTAACATGCTGTACTTTTTATTTCCTATCATTCAGTAAGTCTCCAACAACTAAAAAATGGTCACATTCATATTTATTTTCATTGACATGATGTTCTAATCGAAGACCTCACTACTACTCTAGGCTAAGAGCCTATAGCTGGGCCTTATAATAGTGACAGTGCTCAGATAGAAACTTAAGATGTTATCTGAGCACTGTTATTATTATTTATGTATTTGTTTATATTGTGTTTACGGTGCTACCCAACTTTACAGTGCTAATTTTAATATAATGTAATATATTTCTGTATAAAGAAATAATATATTAAACTTTTTTTTTAATCTTATACTTTTTTCTTTGTTAATAAAGAGTGATGAGTGTTCTTAGTAATGTAATTATATTTTCTGTTACTGATTGATTGTAATTATGTTTTTATATTTTCATGTGATTTTAGTTTTTATTTGTTTTGAAACCATATTTGCATAATTAACATTGCTTGATGATATAGGCTGTCAAGATATGGTAGCTCCCATCCCCGTAACCAATAGTACTAATGCTACCACTACTACTCCTAGTCCAGTTACGTCAACTCCAAAACCAGAGGGTAAGGTTCAGAAATATGCTGTGTATCACCTGGTAGTTTGCAACAGTAGCTTAACACCAAAGTAACAGTAACCTAGCAACATGAACCACTTGGCTCATAGCTAACAATATGGTATTTTAATATGGTCATTACAAAAGTAAAGCAATATGGTCATTACAGTAACCATCGTGAAGCTATACTAATTAGCATAGCTCTATGCAGTAACCTAGCAACCATTGCTTATGGTAACTGTAGTTACCTAGTAACCACTGGCTCATGGTAACTATAACCTAGCAACCATTGTCTTGAAATTATGTATGAAATTAGTGTAGTCATCTCATCTACAGTAACTCATACGAGGTTTATGCACATTATAGGATGATGACATGATGATGATGATAATTTAAATATTTATACTCAACTACCCTGCTTATTAGTGCTTACCATTTTTTTTCTTTCTCATCATTAATTTGCATTTGTCTGTCTTTTATCATTTTGAATCATTATTTTGTGGTATTTTTTGTTTCGTTTTCTTTTTGTATTTTTGGAATCATTGTGGTACCCTTTTTTCAGTTTCAGGCTCAATTTTATTAAGGTTCTCCAGCAACCAGGGGCTAATATCCAAATGCACTGTACACACAGTGAAAAAATGTACTTGAGAACATAAATATTTTTGTATATAATGCATTTGAATTAATAACAATAATATGATAATTTTAAATAACTTTGCAAAACTATTTATCTGGTTTTTGTTGCTTAAGTTTTCCAAGGCATTGACATCGACATCTTGTCAATTGGCCTTAGAAGTGGTCCTGTGTTTTATGGATTGTAGTGAGGATGCAGTGGGAATGTAGTGAGGGTGTAACAGGATTTAACATGAATTTGGATGTAGTCAAGATGTAGCGTGATTGTAGCATTGTAGAATAACCATCAAGAATGTAGTGAGGATGTATTTTGAATGTATTGAGGATATAGCGTAAAAGCAACATGTAAATGTTTCCTTTCATATTTTTTAATTATTAATTTTAAATGTGCTTTCTTATTATTTTATATTTTAACTGTTTATAAATCTGCTGAGACTTGTTTTGGTAGTTAGAATGTGGGTGTCATGGTTTTCTAACAATATTTGAGATTTTCATATGTATTGTAATTTGTCTGCCTTAGCCCTCTTTCACGTAACTCAAATCGTTTTCATTCATGATGTTTATTGCTTTTTAAATTCCATTTACTAAATGTAATGTTTTTGTATCATTCTTTTTTTTAAATTGCAAGTAATATTTATCATTAGTATTATTAATGTAATGAAAATGCTAACAATTTACTATGATGTTTATTTTTGTTAATAAATAAATAATAAAACAGTGCCTGTGCCTGTTAGAAAAATATAATAATAAAAATAATAATATTAAGTCTGTAATATGTATTAATTTTTTATATTTATCTTAAATATAATTATTAAAATGATAATAATAAAAATAATGTAATTATTATGTTTAACTATAAGTGTTAAGTGTTTTTGTCTCTTTGATTGCAGATTTTGCTGAAGTCTATCCAGGAGTGGCTATCTTCTTGCAGAATTTTTTTATATTTTTTGGGTAAGTATATATGCTAATATTTAATAGTCCTTTTTCCTTTCCCATTTTTATTCACATCCAAGAGTATCCCCTCACCAGTTATAGACAAATCCAATTAGGAAAGGGCGCTCTCTATGGTGCTACCATTGCTTGAGACCTCATGGGGGTTCCCCACATGCATGTCATGTCCATGTACGGTGGCGCTGCAAAATATTGAGAGTAAATGTGGCAAAGTCAAGCCAAACCAGTCATTCGCCACAATTTGTGTTTCAGAGATGATGGCCAAAACATGCCGGAATGTCAACATTTTTGAAATCTAGTTTATTGCACTAAACTAACCATTATATATCTATACATCATGCTATGCTGTTATTTTCCCCATTTTCAATGTTAAAACAACAATTTTTAACGATTTGGTAATCTTTGCCTGAGAAATGTCCGAAATCATATACTTTGAAGGCTGATTTCTCAAATATTGTTCTTTAAACAGCTCTATGTTTAAATATTTCTTACTTCATAAGGAAATGTTAGATTTAAATGATTCTTTTACCATATTATAGCTCTCATTTTACTGTTTATTAATAACTAAAAATTGATTTTTGCAACCAGTGACTGGTTTGGCTTGTCTTTGCCACAATTTACAATGGAAACAACATACTGCACATACTGTAATATTTAAATTTGTACCAATAATGTAATAATCCGCAAACAGATTCCCCCAGCTATGGCATCTGCAGGGGGAATCACTGTAAATGGATTGGTGTAGAGAATGGAGCTTTTGAATTCCCTTTAACACATTCACTGCTATGATCTATCACAGAGTTCTTCCCCTTTTTCCACAACAAGTTTTAAAATTGTTTTAAATGTACTCATTGCTAAATCCATTTTGGACAAATAAAATTTAATCTGAATCTATAAAGTATTAAATACAACACTTAATATTATATCTTTTTAACAGCTCAATGATTTTCAAGTTTGGTCGAACCGAGGAACTTTGGGAATGAAGTGGTGTACCAAAGCTGAACCACCACAGCTGTGCAATCCTCTAATTGAGGGGTCCAAGCCTCTATTGTATGGGATTGAAGTAGATATGCATTAATGTAATCATTGTGAATACAGTGTTGCACTCGCTAACTGTTTTATAGTGTAACCATGCGTAAAGAGAACATGTATCTAATGTGTAAATTGTAAAATTAAATTTTAGATACTTTTATTTATATTTGTGTTTATATTTGTCTGTGTTTATCATAGACTGTTCATAGCTTTTACAAATTTCTAAATGGATGTTATGCATGAATCAGTTATTGAAATAATATTTACATTTATTTAGATTTATAATTTGAACATGAAAGGAGCAATATGGTCATGTTTGTGAAACATCTGTAAGTAAGAACAACTGTAATATGGCCTAAGTAAATTAAATCCGTATATGGTGTTTATAATATAAAAATATGTCTACATTCTATCCTCACTTGCCTATGCAGCTATTTTTTTAACATTTTGGTACATCATGTATATGTATATATATAATGCTTATAATTTTGATTTTTTTTTTATTTCTTTATTTGGCATCATAAAAAACATGTACACAGATTAATGTAAACAGCATAAAAAAAACAACAAAAAGATATCAAAAATACTTCAAAAAGATATGGTATGGTAAAGATATAAAAATGTCAGGATATATTAAAATTCATCAAAGGGTAAAAATTACAAAAGACATTCAATAGACAAAGAACAAGGATGCCAGGATGACCCATGAAACTTGTTAATATTATAAAAACTTATTTCCAATGGGATCCAAATGGTATACTGTATATCATATAATTATGTGTATAATATAGATGATATAATCCCCTGTATCTATCATATATATATTTTGTGTACTGTATAACTTATTCGTATATATACCTACCTTATATATGTATATAGGGGCATATTATATTTATAATATATACATATACAGAATTACATGATGCAAAATTAAGTTTATGTTCTAGATTTTTAATCAATATTTAATATATGTTTTGATTATTTTTAATTTCTTTGAACCTTATGCCTTGAACTATCATCTTAGTATGTTCCACCGATGTTTGTTTCTAAGGTCAGCACATCTCTATTGCAAATTACAGGAATGCCACATGTGGTCAACCATTATTGTATTCTGATGGGTTGTTTTAACTTATTTCCTTCAATAAACCATTGAATTGACATTGCTTCACGTGTGTATGTTTGAATGGTGTATTGAATATTTTATACTGTATGTTAATAGAAAGAGTTTGACTGCCCTCATAGATTTGTTGAATCAAATAAGTTAATTTTAAAGCTTTTTTTTCGCTGTCAACAGTGGTGACGCCGCGGGTA